TTTGAGAAAAATTAATTCTCGCATCATTGTTCGAGCTTTGCAAAAATTTTTCTCACAGGTGGGGATTCCCCGAATAATTCAATCCGATCAAGGTTCAAATTTTACCTCTAAGATGTTTCGTGATGCCTTATCTCGCCTCGGAATTAAGTCCGTATTTTCTGTTGCTTATCACCCTCAGTCGCAAGGAGCCCTCGAACGATTTCATCAAACATTAAAATCAATGATGAGAGCGTACTGCGAGCAGTTTTCCAGAGATTGGGACGAAGGAATACCATTCCTCTTGTTCGCCTTAAGGGAAAGCGAACAAGAAAGCACTGTTGCGTTTGTGTATGTTGTATGTGAGGGTTAGATTGGGGCGCTCCAAGAGGGGCAGAACTCCAAACATTGGAACCATTGGTAGAGACCTGAGGAGTCCCACTTGATCCAGGCAGAGCTGGGAAGGAAGTTTGGGACATCGTTGGTGGTGCCTGAGGAGTGGTCTTCTTTGAAGTGGACAGTTTCTTGGCTTCAATAATTTTCTGCACTTCCTTTTTCCTTTCAGGACAAATAGCAGAAACAGCATGATGTTTTCCGTTGCAGAGGACACATTTGGGTGTATTTTTATTATTACAATCTCGATAAGAATGTTGGCCAGAGCAAATGCTACAAATTTGCCCTTGAGTACTGCATTTGTTGGTGTTATGACCAAAGGCATAACATTTAAAACATTGTGTCACACTGACAAATCGTTCAAGAGAGATTTGTCAGGTGTACATCTGGTGCCAAAACATTTGAAGCCATTTTGACACACAAGTTTGGCCTCCTCAGGTGTCTCAAGTATTAATTTTAGGATTACCTTGTTGTTGTTAGGATTAGAGAATTTATGTGCTTCTACAGCCTAAAATTCAGAATTCTCTGTATTAATGTCCTCAACAATTTCATTCACAGTGCTATGTTTCATAAAACTGTTGATTCTTGCAACAAACACAGTCCTCTGAGCTTGATAGCTCTCAGGTGCAACTGGGGTAACACCAGAAGTCTTCAGTTTGTCAAGGACATCATGCTTCAGCAGTTAAAGTAACTCTTCTTCCGAAGAGAGGAGAAGTACTGCTCCAGCGTGGGTTTGAAAAACATCCACTGGAGCAACAGTTGAGTTCGAGCAAATACATGTTAGAATTTCTTTCATGGACATTTGATTTCCATCAATACGTAATCTTACACGTATCCTTGCCATGATGTCTAGGAAGGAACATCTGGCAGAGAAGTTCTTAACAAAAGAGGATCTTTCCTTAATGTTAATCTGACATCCTATTTCAGCTGACTTATGAAGGTCAGCCCCTAAGATAGCCTACCCTCGAGTAGTGAGGGGAAAGGGCCCAAGGCAAAGATCGGCCGGATTTTAAAAAACCACACGGGCTATCGGCTGGTCAAAATGCGTTGTGTTAACTCGCCAAAGCGAAGTTGCCAAAAAAGAAGAAGATAGGAAAGTCAGAAGGATAGCAATGTATGTAGTGTGTTAAGTGTGTGGGCCAGTGTTGATGTTTGGGTGAGGGGAGGATGGGGAAGGATGGGGAGATGGGGATGAGAGGGGTGAACAAGCAAGCAAGTCACCGCCTTACCCTCTTGATGGGATGGGGCTCGAAGTGACTGCAAGCAAGTTTCCTCTCAGCTCTGGTGAAGAATTACTCAGGATAACCCAAGAAAAATCTCGAGCAACAGTGTTCAGAGTTGCTCAGCTGAAGAGCAGGAACGACGACGTCTTCTCTCCACGGTGGCTGGGCTGCTTCCTTCTATTTCTTGTCTTGTTGTCCCGCTCACTCCCAGATGTCTCCCCTTCCCCACTTACCCAAGGTTAGCCTCAGCGATTCCACTAACTCCTCCAATGTTGTTGGAGTTATATGGGGCTACAGAAAACACCGCCGCCTCAGCTGCTGCTTCACCATGTTATATCTTCGAAATTGGTCATCCTGTGTTATTTAACTATTGTAAGAGAATATGTTCAGCACTTAATATTATAGCGCGAAAGTCCCCGTCTATAGCTAAAATAGAGACTTTCGGCATTATATTATTATCTGTTAATATATGAAAAATACCATGGTATTATCACTATTTTAACAGATAATAATATAACGCCGAAAGTCTCTATTTTAGCTATAAATGGGGACTTTTGCGTTATAATATTAAGTGATGAACATATTCTCTTACAATAGTTAAATAACACAGGATGACCAATTTCGAAGATATAACATGGTGAAGCAGCAGCTGAGGCGGCGGTGTTTTCTGTAGCCCCATATAACTCCAACAACATTGGAGGAGTTAGTGGAATCGCTGAATCACTGAAGAAGGCACCCTCTACCACCACCACAACCACTACCATCACTACCACCCTCTACCAATATCACAACTGCTACCACCCTCTACCACCATCACTACCACTATCAAAACTGCTACCACCCTCTACCACCATCACTACCCCCCTCTACCACTATCGCAACTGCTACCACCCTCTACCACCATCACTACCACCCTCTACCGCTATCACAACTGCTACCACCCTCTACCACCATCACTACCCTCTACCACCATCACTACTCTCTACCACCATCACTACCACCCTCTACCCCAATCACTACCACCCTCTACCACCATCACTACCACCCTCTACCACTTTCACAACTGCTACCACTCTACCACCACCAATTTCGTATTTTTCTACAAACTTTTTCTTAAATTGTGTGTGTTTCTCACATTCTTTACCAAAGGGCTGGCACTAGAAGCTTTCTTAGGAGCCGTGGTGGCTTATTTAGCAGTTGCAAGCACTAAAACGAATGGAATATTATGAAATATATCGTATGAACTCATGGGATCATCCTCACTCACTGATAAACAATGGCACACTGGCTGGGAATGAAGTGTGAGGCTGCTCGGGGACGTGCATACGTGTCCTAGACAAACAACTGTTTGTGAGTCAAACGATTTTCGAGTCAATGTTTTGACGAAAAAACGTTATGATTTTCGAAAATTACAACTTTCGAGTCTTATGAAAAACGAGTGTCCACTGTAGCTTGAAATTGAGCTCAAAGTAGTGGAAATGTTAAATTTTTGCCAATGTTCAGGAGTAAACAAACCACTTCATGCATCCAGTACACGTCAACTGGCCAGTTTGATGTACACTCATGAAAGCACTGACATTATTTATACAATTATTACCATATAAGAACATAAGAAAGAAGGAACACTGCAACAGGCCTACTGACCCATGCAGAGCAGGTCCATGCCCCCCCCCCCCAGATTAGCCCAATGACCCCCCTCCCCCACCCCTGGATTAGCCCAATGACCCCCCCTCCAGGATTAGCCCAATGACCCACCCAGTCTGGTCACCTCCACTCAAGGAAGGAGCACAGCACCAGACCCAGCAACACAAGCTAGTCAGGCCCAACTCACACCCACCCACACCCATTCATGTATTTATCTAACCTATTTTTAAAACTACACAACGTTTTAGCCTGAATAACTGTACTCGGGAGACATGACTAATGAACAGAAAAAGTTATTTTATTGCCAGGAATGTCTACATTATTTATTCTGGACCCTATTTTGAAATTGTCCTTTCTTGAATTTTGTGTGAAATTGGCCAAATTAGTAATTTCTGATCACTTTATTGGGTAACTGTTGATATACATAGGTAGATGAGCAATTTCTTGTACTCAATCGATAGAATTAAAGGAGTTCTAGCTAAACATCTATGAATTTGCTTGACTGGAACAGTGGAATTGGCCCAAAATAGGGCTCAAAATGTTCGAAATCGCCGATGCGTAAGTATGGCTGAGACTGCTAACTTCACAAGAGTGGAATTCCTTAAGTTTTCCATCATATAACGTGCTTTTGTTTTTATTACCTTCAGAAAAGGATTCTCTTATTATTTTGTGTGTTTTTTTTTTTTTTTTTAATTCTTCGACTCCGGGAGCAAGTTTGTGACCTCTGAAACAGACCTTACCCTTAGGGAATTTTGGAAAAACCATTTTAATATCCTCCAGTGTTTAAGGATGATAGACAAAGCTTGGGAGGGAAGGGTTTGAGGCAGAGCCTGTAGTGAAGGATATTGTTTCTCTGGGCCAGTCTATGGGTTTGGAAATGGATGATGAGGATGTAAAGGAGTTGGTGGAGGATCACAAGATTGAACTCACCACAGAACTTCAAGACCTGCACAGGGAGCAGCAAGAAGTGGTTGAAGAAATTCCTTCGAAGGAGGAGAGAAGCAGTAAGGGCAACATTACCACTGCAAAAATTAAGGAACTGTGTTACCATTGGGCTCAAACACAGAGCCTGGTGGAAAAATGGTATCCTAACATTACTGTTGTGATTAGGAGCATCAACCTGTTCAGTGACAGGGTTGTTGACCACTTTAGAAAATTTTTGAAAACTTGTCAAAAGCAGACAACATGGAGAGCTTCTTTAGCAAAAATAAAATCTAATGCTAGTTAATCCCCATCATCTTCAAGTGTTATTGCACAGAGACAGACAAGAAAAAAACCAGAAAGGCAGTTACCAGATGTTTTTATGGAAGGTAACACCCTTTCCAAACAATAACATCTCTCCACCTTCCTCCTAGGTCATCAGCATTGCTCAGTAAAGGTAAAGTTCAAGAGATGTGTGCCCTTCATGACATCCCAGGAATACAAAAGATAATAGCAGTTTGTCCAGTTGAATTTTGAATTATTTCATGTTTTTATTTTTATAATTTTCATGTATGATTTTATGTATGCAAGTATTATTATACATGTTGAAATAAGCAATATTTTCACTTAAAATGTTTTATAATTGGTAATTTTTGAGGGTCTGGAACAGATTAATCCAATTTGCATTATTTCTCATGGGAAAAATTGATTCACTATTCGTACAAGTCACTATTCAAACAGCCTCTTGGAATGGATTAAGTTTGAATATTGAGGTACCACTGTATTCCATACTTATTGAACTATTCATATATTCTACATTAAAAAAAATTCTTTTTTAAGCAGATGGTTCCTAATAGAAGAAAAGTGTCGGTATCTCAGTAATTTAGTCTACAAACAGCAGAGGTTGAACTGCCTGGAGAGTTCCTCTTGCCTAAGGTTAGTGTTAAGAATATTTATTACAGTAATTCTTGTTGATATGAAATATTATTTTTCAATTTTTGTAAAGAGGATTATTTGTCCCTGCTAAAGCAAATGATTACAAATATCAAAAAGTGAGGTGAACTCCCTGAAAATAAAGTGGTACTAGTAGAACCCAGGCACTCGGTGGTTTTACACACTTATTTAAGGTAGAGCTCCCCATGTGCTAAGTGCTGATAAGACCTGATGCTTTTATTAATAATTATAATATTTTTTCCATAACCTATCATTTAATCCTGCCTATTGAAATTCTCCTACCCCTTTTAACTTTGTTTCATTTAGTGCTAAGAAAACACGTTCCTTTTCATTTGTAGCATCAACAATCAATTATCAGATTCGCTGCTTTAACTGTTAAGTATCTGAACGTAGATACTAGCCCCTTGCTTCTGGCATAGTAGTTGCCTTGTACAAGACACATGGCTTATGGGAAAAGAACTTTAGTCCACTATCACCATCTGATTGTGATGTCAGTGCACTTCTATTAAAGATGAGATGAACCATAGAACTGACGAGGGGAAAAAAGTGAGTGGTGCATTGAGGCATTTGTGGAGCCAAAGAGCATTATTCATAGAGGCAAAAGGGGGGAAACTATTGATTCACTTTGAATAAGAGTAAAGTGGTACCAACACTTAATGTGGGTGTAAAGCATGGGTTGTGAATGTTGCATTTGAAGGGGTTTGGAGGCAGTGGATATGTTGCATTTGATGACTAGGTGTGGTGTGAATATTATGAAAGAGAATTCACTTTGGAGATTAGGAAGGGGTTGCAGAGTTACTAAAAGCATTATACAGAGGGTTTAGAACAGGTTACTGAAGTGGTTTAGACATTTGAGAGAATGGAGCAAATTAGGATGACTTGTAGGGGTGTTAAATCTCTGTAGTGGAGGGAAGGCAGGGTGGGGGGTCATCCAAGGGAAAGGTTGAAGGAAGGGGGGTGGGGTGTAAAGGAGGTTTTGTATGCGAGGGGCTTGGATATCCAACAGGCGGGGATGTGTGAGCATGCTAGAAAGAGTGAGTGAAGACAAGTGGATTTTATGTCTTCCTGTGCTGTTAGAGTTTTGGGAACAAGGTAATCTGTATGAAGGGATTCTTGAAAATCTGTTAGCCAGACTTGAGTCCTGGAGGAGAAGTGCAGTGCCTGCACTCCAAAGTTTTGGAGGAGCATTGACAAACCTCTGGCAAGACAGTGAAGTGATGATGAAAGAGTTTTCTTCCTTTTTTGGGTCCCCTTCCTTAGTGGGAGATGACCTCTGTTTTAAAAAACATTGTCATTTATGTTCTGTATTACCAACTCTGCAAAGAGTTTATTACCTAGTATCATTGTGACTTAAAGTTTGGACATATTCATCTTCGTATGTTCTGTGTTGATTTTTTAATTACAGACACTGCAATTTTGAATTTCATATTTTTCCTAGATGAAATATGCATAATCATGTAAGTACAGTGGAACCCCGGATTTCGTAATTAATCCTTTCCAGAAGGTCATTCTAAATCTGAAAAGTGCAAAAACCAAAGTAATATTTCCCATAAGAAATAATGTAAATACAATTAATCCATTCCAGACACCCAAAAATATTCACAAAAAAAAAATCCATATTTTAAAGAATAACTATAGTTTTACATACAGATAACAATGAGAAATAGATATAAACATTACATACTTTTATTGAAGACTCTTGCTGGCATATTGAAGAAGGCGAGGAGGGGAGAGGGAGTCGAGGTATCAAAGGCCTCTCTGGGGTTACTTCCCTTCTTTGTCTTTTACTGGCGCTAGGACCAGTTTGAGAGTCATTGGACCTCTGCCACACAAAAAAAAAAAAAAAAAAACTGTCCAGAGAGCTCTGTTTCTGGCATCTCTTTTAAGATTTGTCTGAAGTGGGACAAGGTTTTGTCACAGAACATGTTGCAGATATGGCTTGTTTCAGCTTCGTCAGGGTGATACTTTTCAACAAAAGTTTGCAACTCATTCCACTTTGCACACATGTTCTTAATCACTGAAGAAGACACAGTCTCCCCTCTCTCTTCCTCCTCCTCCTCCTCCTCAGAAGCAATTTCCTCAGCTGCAGTCTGTTGTTGTTTGAGTTGAAGGTCTTGCAGCTCTTCAGTGGTTAGCTCTTCTCTGTGGCCGTCCACCAACTCTTCCACATCCTGGCCACTCACATCCAACTCCATGGACTTTCCCAAAGACAAAATACATTCCACAACAGGCATAGGGTCGACAGGGTCAGCCTCAAACCCTTCAAAATCTTTGTCAAGGACACAAACATATGCCACTTCCATATTTTTCTACAATCTCTTTCTTTAATTCTATCGTATTTCTCAATTTCTTTACCAAATGGCTGGCACTAGGAACTGTCTTTGGGCCCATGGTGGCTTATTTTCACAGTCACAATCAATAAACAAGCGCAAAAATTGCGAAATGTTTCAGATAAATGTTCACTCAACCAGTGACAGAGCCAGACTGAAGCACTGTCCTGGCAGGTGGACATGCCTGATACATGCAATTCCCAAGACAATGTCTGAAATTCGAAGCAAAATTTCACACAAAAAGTGTCTGGAATCCGTAAAGTCATATGTCCAGTGCTTGCGAAATCCGGGGTTCCACTGTATTAGACCTATAAAAGTTATTAACCCTTTCAGGTTTTCGGCCGTACTAGTACAGTGGTCCCTCGTTTCTCGTAATTAATCCGTTCCTGGAGCCGTTACTATAAACGAAATTTACGATTTGCGAATCAATTTTCCCCATAAGAAATAATGTAAATACAATTAATCCGTTCCTGACACCCAGAAGTATTAAAACAAAAAAATCTTTTACATGAAATATACATGTACTAGTACATAAACAATACAATGGGAAATGATGTATGAAACATTAACAGCGTAACACTTACCTTTATTGGAGATTCTTCTTAGTGTATAGGAGACTGGAGGAGGAGAGAGATTGGATTGTTTACAATTTGGAAGGGGAATCCCCTTCCAGCAACACCTCAGGTACCAATTGCTTCTCTGGGGCTGCTTCTCTTCTCTGTTTCTTAATGCCACTAGGACCACCTTGAGAGTCACTCTAGTCCTGTCTCGCAAAGTAACTGTGGAGAGAGCTCTGTTTCTGGCGTCTCTTTAACACTTCCCTAAAATGGCCCAAGACTTTGTCACTGTACATATTTCTCACCTCCTTTACCACAGGCTTGGCACTAGGAGCTTTCTTTGGAGCCATGGCAGCTTATTTGATACTTGTAAGCACTAAAATGAGTGGAATACAGTGGACCCCCGCATACCGATGGCACCACATAACGATTAATCCGCATACCGCTTGCTTTAATCGCAAAAATTTTGCCTCGCATACCGCTTAAAAACCCGCTCACCGATTTTCGTCCGAGACGCGTCCAATGTGCGCCCTCAGCCAGCCTCACATGTGCCGCCCGTGCCATTGTTTACCAGCCAGCCTCCGCGGTAACATCCAAGCATACAATCGGAATATTTCGTATTATTACAGTGTTTTCGGTGCTGTTTCTGGAAAATAAGTGACCATGGGCCCCAAGAAAGCTTCTAGTGCCAACCCTACACCAATAAGGGTGAGAATTCCAATAGAAATGAAGAAAGAGATCATTGATAAGTATGAAAGTGGAGTGCGTATCGCCGACCTGGTCAGGTTGTACAAGAAACCCCAATCAACCATCGCTACTATTGTGGGCACCAAAAGGCAATCAAGGAAGCTGTTCTTGCCAAAGGTTTAACTGTGTTTTCGAAACAAAGATCGCAAGTGATGGAAGATGTTGAGAGACTCTTATTGGTGTGGATAAATGAAAAACAGCTAGCAGGAGATAGCATCTCTCAAGCGATCATAAGCGAAAAGGCTAGGAAGTTGCATCAGGATTTAATTAAAAAAATGCCTGCAACTAGTGCTGAAGTGAGTGAATTTAAGGCCAGCAAAGGTTGGTTTGAGAGATTTAAGAAGCGTAGTGGCATACATAGTGTGATAAGGCATGGTGAGGCTGCCAGTTCGGACCACAAAGCGGCTGAAAAATATGTGCATGAATTCAAGGAGTACATAGAGACTGAAGGACTGAAACCTGAACAAGTGTTTAATTGTGATGAAACAGGCCTGTTTTGGAAGAAAATGCCAAGCAGGACCTACATTACTCAGGAGGAAAAGGCACTCCCAGGACATAAGCCTATGAAAGACAGGCTTACTTTGTTGATGTGTTCCAATGCTAGTGGTGATTGCAAAGTTAAGCCTTTATTAGTGTATCACTCTGAAACTCCCAGACCGTTCAGGCAAAAGAATGTCCTCAAGGAGAATTTGTGTGTGCTGTGGAGGGCAAACAGTAAGGCATGGGTCACTAGGGACTTTTTCTATAACTGGTTACACCATGCATTTGCCCCCAATGTGAAAGATTACCTAACTGAAAAGAAATTAGAACTTAAGTGCCTCCTGGTGTTTAGACAATGCCCCTGGTCATCCTACAGACGTGGCAGAGTGACTTTATGGGGACATGAGCTTCATTAAGGTGAAGTTTTTGCCTCCTAATACCACTCCTCTCCTGCAGCCCATGGACCAGCAGGTTATTGCAAACTTCAAAAAACTGTACACAAAAGCTCTGTTTGAAAGGTGCTTTGTAGTGACCTCAGAAACTCAACTGACTCTAAGAGAGTTTTGGAGAGAGCACTTTAATATCCTCAATTGTGTAAACCTTATAGGTAAGGCTTGGGAGGAGTGACTAAGAGACCTTGAACTCTACTTGGAAGAAACTGTGGCCAGAATGTGTAGACAAAAGGGATTTTGAAGGGTTTGAGGCTAACCCTGAGAGGATTATGCCAGTTGAGGAATCCATTGTGGCATTGGGAAAGTCCTTGGGGTTGGAGGTTAGTGGGGAGGATGTGGAAAAGTTGGTGGAGGAGGACAATGAAGAACTAACCACTGATGAGCTGATAGATCAACTTCAAGAGCAAGAGGCCAGA